CTGTCAATATGGGGTGCTGTGTGTACATTAATGAGGAAAAAAATGAACTTAAATGATTTTAGCATATGGCTGCAATATAACAAAGAGTGAAAAATTTAAGGGGGTCTGAATACTTTCCGTACTCACTGTACTTCAATAAACTCATCATACATCTCTTCAGTGTTTTCCATTTCCAGTCATTAAAGATTTGTTTGTTCTTATGAAAGAACATTTCCTGAAAGCAATACATGATATTTCCTTAAACAATATGTACCCTCAAATTCAACAATTGTTGTTAAATTAGACTAACTGTGCCACGTGTCCTGTCTCAGTCTGGCTGATTTTGTCCATGCTGCCTCTGTCCCATACCGCAGGCTGCTCTGTCCAGCTACCAGATTCCCAGTCAGTTTCTATGTTTTGTCATCCTTGCCCCCCTGCCTGTACCTGGTTTTTGTTCCTGCCTGTCTACACTCCTTTTCCACATTATATTGCACATTAAACTTCACTGCATCCACCTCTCTGCATGACTGGATTAGGCTAATCTCTGTCTATGCTCCATGCACCATACATAATGCACTTTCCTGTACTTACTGAAAATGACATCAGAGCAGCCAGACACATTAACCTAGTCAGAGGGGAGTTCTAGAAATTAAATCACCCTCAACAAAGTGAAAGAGAAAAAAGCTGGTACAGTGTCTGCATAGTTACCCAGAGGCGACAGCGTCTGTATTTCCTCGTTGCCAGTCTTTCTTCTGGTGCTGGACAGCTAACCTCTGAAGAGCCTGAAAATGCCGTTTACCACATTACAACCCAAAGAAAAGACAACATAAAATGCTCTAACTGAGAACCAGGTAGGTTTGTTGCACCCACATTGTGCTTTTTCATAAAATGTGATGATGATGTGATAAGTATTTCAGTGCCTGGAATATGTTGCAGTACTTTGTACTGCATCCAGTAAGGCCTCGTGATATTGGTTTTTATGTCATTTCACTTGATTTGTCATTTCAAATAATTAATAAATAAACAGTAAATATTAACTGGGGTTTACACTGAGCAATTTCTTTCATCAAAATTCATCTGGAAGCCATTAACAAAGTCAACACAACTCAGTGGACTAAATAAGAAAAAAAAAATCAGTCTTAGAACTTTGTCTCTGTTTTTCTATAATCAATACCAATCTCCATGGCTCCCTAGGAAACTTTCAAGAAATTATTAGAAAATAGTCGACCTGTAAAATTAAGTGTTGCCATTATTTTTTTACTTCCTTTACTTGCTATTGTCACAGGTGACTTAGCCTATGTCTGTCCATGACTGGCGTCCACACACCATCAGGTCAGCTCCAATTTGACTTGTGTTTTTCTTTATGGCCAGATATCAAAATCTGCCATTACCATGAGCCTCAGTCAGCTGTACTGTTAATTAGCAAAGCTTTGCATTGTCACTGTGGGCATATTAGCATGCTGATATTAGCACTGAGGTCAAAGCACAGCTAATGTCAAGCTCAAAGTGTTTACTGACTTACTGAACACAGTTCATTCCTCTTTTGTCACATGTAAAAGTGGCAAATTATTTGTAAAGAAAACAACATGGTGATTTGTTTTCTGGTTAGTATAAGTATGGGCACACACACACACACACACACACAGTGTTTTCATTCCTTGTGAGGACTTTACATTGACTAACATTAATTTCCTGTAGACTTATCCTAACCTTAACCATAACCATGACTTGCCTTACCCTGAACCCTTAAACCATGGTGTCACCCTATAATTTCTGTGACTTGGTCCCCATAATGTATTAATACAAAAGCAAAAACACACAGACATACTTCTATCTTTGTGTGGACACTCGCTGACATAATGCATTGCCTAGCCCCTTACCCTGACCTTAACCGTCGAAACTAAATACCCAACACTTAGCATTCCTTTAAGCTGAAAGTAAACCTAATTCTAACCTGAACCCTAAACGATGTCTTAACCCTCAAAAAGCAGTTTCAGAAAGTGAGAACCGGGCAAAAATGTCCTTACTGTGTAGTGAGAAAACAAACCAACACCTTTCTGGGTCACCACTATGTGGAAAGTACAAGAACACACACACACATTCATCAAATGTTCACACACATATGTGACACATTCTTCACCACTGTGGAAAAACACATGACCTAGAACTTTCCTGAACAGGTGGAAACTTGAAAACATGTATTTAAGTACAATTTTGATTTTTGTACTTCACTTGAGTATTTTCAATGTCTGTTACTTCATACTTTTTGGCTTCATAACATTTTAGAGGCAAATACCTTTTCCTGCACTACATTTATTTGATAACTTTGGTTAATTTTCAGAATCAGATTAATAAAACAAAACAGCACTGTATAATTAGAAGATTTTTTTGATCCCCGGTGAGAAAATCACAAGGTACCGTACCCAACAAGATTCACCCCACCTTTACCAGCTGCAACATTAAATGTGATAGACACAATAATGTATCAATAATAACAATACAATAATATGATATATATTACAGTGAAATGTACCATTCTGCATAATGAGTACCTTTACTATTGGTACTTTAAGTACTTCTTCCACCACTGCTGGCACACAGAGGCACGCAAAACAGCAGACAAACAGCACTCAGGTACTGATATGAGACCTCAAATCAATAAATATGGAACCTCAAATCAATAAATAATGAGCATTTCCAGTAAACAATGACAGAAGCAAAACTAATAATGGACTAGAATAGCTGGTTTCCTCACCTGACCATACTCTTTCTCTATAGCTGCTCGTTGCTTACTGAAGGACCTTGGGGAACACACAGAAAAACAGATGACACACAGCATCAACAGGCAGGTAATTTAATACACGTTTAGTTTCCTTTTGCGTATTGATCCCTATCATTAAATCAAATGGAGGATTTCATGCAGATACTGTGTTGACGGTCTGGCGAGACACATTGTACCTGATGTCCTCCAGAAGCTCAGTGTCCTGATGTTGTTTGGTCTGCAGTTTACTGAGCTGCTCTGCGAACACCAGCTTCACCAGCTGGCTTTCCTTTACCTGCATGCCCACACACCCAGAGAGACACAGAGACAGAAAGGCAGTCGGTGCAATTCAAAGAATTAGAATTTGACTTTTTAGTTGCTCTCACTGTTCCAAGAGTGATGTAAATAAACAAGGACAACAATCTGAACAAATGTATATGTCAGTGTAAATAAATTATTACAGTCTATACAAAGAAGTACATAATAGCATACATTACTAAATTGTTTGCATTCATCAGATTGTCAGTGTAACACATCAAGATACTGTTTCACAACTAACCTCAGTGAAACAACTTCATCAACATCCACTTTTCAGCTAAATGACAAATGTCTGCTATCATATCTTGTAAAACAAAATACAGTTTGCAGAAAAAAAAAACAATACAATGACATCAAATCTAACTTTGAGTTGAGAGCAAAATGTACCTTATACCACATACCTTATAATATCAACACTAAATGATTGTTTACAATATGTTCATTTATAAAATGCAACAAATCCATTGAGGCCAGTCTGTGCGCTGTAAATGGCATTCACAGAATCAGCCAAAATACATTTTCAGGCGGATGCTTTCACTCTTACATGAGATCAAGAGAAACAAATCTGCTAAACAAAAGCAAAATACATCTATTTCAAATAAATGCCACCTGTTTTTGGCAGCATATTAAGTAAAATGCATTTATTGTAATAAAAATGTTTTAATTGAAATGCTCCTAACATTTAATTTAATCAAAGTATCCTATTATTGTGAAAGGAAAGTGGGTTATAGGGACAGAGATGAAAGTAGTTGAGCAGTAGAGACACAACGTATGTAAGCTGTAAGCACTCTTTACATTAACATCAGCTCATCTTCTACATTAGACTCTCAGCACTATCTTACCTTCCTAGGTGGTGGCTGCATGGTTGGATGCAGATAGTGTCCTTTATTGTCTCCGTTATTCTGTTAGTTTGTTTCAGCTGTGGGGCACTGCTACTGCTTCCTCAATAATTTCACTTATGCACACTAGCAACTCTCTCTCTCTCTCTCTCTCTCTCTGTCACTGTGGTGCTGTCTTGCAGAAAGCCAACAGAGGGCAGTGGAGTCCAGTGACTTTGAGCCAGAATTTCAATTTTAAGATCCTGGTAATAGATGTTTGCAGTTGAGCAACATCATCAGTGGGATGTGCATGAAGGCTTGGGGCAGAAAAAATACCCTAAATTATTGAGAATATAATGAAGAAGTTGTTTTATGCCTACATTACTTGTACTTGTTTAGTGATATGTAAAGTCAGAAATTGGTTGGTAAATATTCCACTACACTATCACATGGAAGATCTGAAATGCATAAATGAAACCGAAACGAATACAGGAATATAATAAGATACAATGCACATTGTTACTGTTATTTGCCTTTTATATATGTATTTAGTGTCATAATAAAATTAAAGTCTGACTACAAAGATGATGATTCCTGTAGTTTTTAATAAACAGATGAATTGTTTTTCATTATAAAATTGAATTTTCCATGTGAAGGGAAATAGTGACATCATGTCTATTGTATACATGTTGATGATATCGCATCACATTGCATTTTCTATACTGCATAGTCCTGAATGGGGTCGCGGTGTTGATGATATAAATGCATGAAAATTCAGCAGCACTGTTGTCGACAACAAACATGGAAAATCTGCTTAAATATTTCAAAGTGACCAAAACAACAATAAAATCTGATATTTGCAGGCGGGTACTCAGGTCAATGATAACATGTCTTTGTATCTACCACCCATCATGTCAAAGTAAGCACTTATATTATTTTGATAACTTGAGAAAGATAGGTGCTCAACCTGGGCCTACCACTGGTGTCACATCATATTCTGGGCCCTTTTCACAGTGATGTCAGCTAAAAGTTGAAAAGCTGAAAGTTGTTTTCCCCCCTGCCATTAAACACAAAAAAGAAGAAAAAGAAGACTGTTTCCCTGAGACTGGGGGAAACAAAAGGAATGCCAGCAGCCACTAGAACATTTACAATGCTGTAAATCACATTTATTCACAATAATAGTTTATTTTTTGTTACTGCCACAGATCACTGGTGAATGGAGCTCTCTGACAGCTAGCAAGAGGCATTAGAGGTGTAAGCTAAAAAAACATTTTCTCCAGAAATAATTAAGCAAACTAGGTCCATGGGCAGAACAATACCGCCAATGTTGTCAGTTCACTCCTTCCCCTGACCACAGGCAGGCCACACTGGATAAATTGCAATGGAGATGCCTGGACAACTCTACAACAGAGACAGTTAAATGGGTGGCTCCAACTTGCAGGCTGATTAACACTGTGGAAGACAAGGGTCTGCTTGAAATAATTCGCATCGCATACAAAGACTGCACATATGAATTACCTTCGAGAGCCACCACTGTAGCCAAGATACACAACTTGTATGAAGATTAGGAAGTTAAAGTGGAGGAAGGCTTGGGAGAGACAAACACGGTTGTGCTCACCAAAGATCACTGGACTTCTTTCAGTAATCACATTTATCTTGGGGTCCCTTTAAGGTACATTTAGAACCAATGGTGCAAGAAGTTCAGATCCTCAAGTAAAAGTAGCAATACAACATTATAAAAATGCTCTGTTACAAGTAAAAGTCCTGCATTCAAAATTACTTCAGTAAAAATACAAAAGTATTAGCATCAAAACATATTTAAAGTACTAAAAGTAAAAGTACTCATTGTGCAGAATGTCACATTTCACATTCTTGTATGTCATATTATTATATTATACTTACTGATGCATTATTGTGTATATCACATTTAATGTTGCAGCTGGTAAATGCATATATAAGCTAGTTTTAACTAGTTTATCTTCTTCTTCTTCTTCTTTCAGCTGTTCCTGTTAGGGGTCGCCACAGCCAATCATCTGTTTCCACCTAACTCTATCCTCGGCATCCTCTACTCTCACCCCAATTAACTTCATGTCCTCTTTTAGCACATCCATATATCTCCTCTTTGGCCTTCCTCTTGACCTCTTGCCTGGCAGCTCCATCTCCAACATCCTTCTACCAGTATAACCACTATCCCTCCTCTGCACATGTCCAAACCATCTCAATCTGGCCTCTGACCTTGTCCCCAAAACAGCCGACCTGAGCTGTCCCTCTGATGTGCTCATTCCTAATCCTGTCCATCCTGGTCACTCCTAAAGAGAACTAAAAGGTTACTTTCAGTATACTTCAAAGTGTATTTTCATAAACTAAAATGGGCACTAGGAGTTTACTGATAGTAAACTAATAGTATACCAAGATGATTACTTTCAGTATACATTAAAGTGTACTTACATAAACTAAAAGTAGACGAAGTTTATTAAGAGTAAACTAACAGTATAGCTGGAAAATTGCCTAAAGTATACTTCAAAGTGTACTTTCATAAACTTAAAGTGGGCCAATTTAGCCCCAAGAAATATACTTGTTAGTAAACTGCTAGTACATTTGAATCAGTGTACTTGGTAAATAAAAGTACACTTGGGGAAATACTTTAGTATACTTAATAACATGTACTTGAGGTATACTTCTTTTTGGTAAGGGCTGATATGCAAAGCATGTCTGTTGGCTCTCATGTTGCTCCCATTAAAGGCATGAATGTGGATTGAACCCATGACTTTGGTTTACAAGACAAAACTAACAGTTTTTTTTTTTTTTTAATACGAGTTTTGTTTTTAGCAATGCTACCATTGCACATCTTTGGAGCATAATATAATATGAATGAATTGCTGTGTAATTTTGTACAGGCTTTCATGGTGCTAAGAAGATGAATGCTAATAACTAATGTAATTTCCTGAAGCCAGTTTTATACTCTGTCCAAACTGTTTGTCAGGTGGTCAGAACCAGTCTCACATCTCATGCATGTGACTTAGTTCAGACAAGATAAAATGATAAGATTGTTGGGCGCTTTTGGGGCAACATTTTTAACAAATGTGGTCTTGTGTTTCATAATAAAGAAACTTCACAGCAGTGTGTTTCATTTCTTCTACTTTTGGCTGTTCCCGTTAGGGGTTGCCACAGTGAATCATCT